AATTTGCATGGCATGGACCCCATGGGTTTCTTACCCCAAGGGGGGCAACCAGGGGGGCATGATCCCAACACTCTAAGGGATCAGGTGGCTCAACTTCTTGCCGAGCAATTTGGCATGGGAGTGAGACCCACCATGCCACCTGTTTATCGAAAACCATACCCTGAGTGGGTGGATAGACTCTACCCATTCCCAAGGGGGTTTAGAGTGCCTGAGTTTGCCACAATCACTGGGACAGGGGACCAGTCTACTGTGGAGCACATTGGACGTTTTACTGTCCAGTGTGGGGATGTAGGAGATTTTATTAAGTTAAGAGTATTTGGAAACTCATTGACAGGACCTGCCTTTGCCTGGTATGTCAACTTGCCATCGAACTCCATCCAAACATGGCAGCAGATGGAGCAAATCTTCCATGCTCAGTTCTATAGATCTGAGCGTGAGGTTTCCATGGATGATTTGGCACGAATGCGCCAAGAGCCAGGGGAGTCAGTAGAGCACTTCTTGACAAATTTCAAGAATGCTCGTAACCGTTGTTTTGTCAACTTGACAGAGAGAGAGTTTGTCAAGTTAGCACAAGGGGGTTGAGTTTTGAGTTAAGGAAAAAATTCCAAGATAGAGAATTTTATGACTTGTTCCAACTCATGTCGTGTGCGGTGAGATATGAATCTCTTCTTCAAGAAGAGGAGAATAGGAGGAGTGCCTCAAGGGGGCAATACTTCCCCAACATCGGCTACCCTGTTAACCATATTGGCCAAGAGGCCAATGAGGTGGAGGTAGACCAGGCTGAGTTAACTCCAGGGAAGCCATATGTATGTGCTCCTTTGGCTAAGATGGACAATGAACCACAAGGGGGTAGACCAAATTGTGCCCCCATCCAGCCACGGAAGTATTCATTTGATATTTCTAAAGGCGACTTGATATTTGACCAACTCTACAAAGATGGTCAAATCAAGTTGAAAGGGGGGCATAACATCCCATCCCCTGAGAAGTTAAGAGGGAAAACATATTGTAAGTGGCATAACAACATGCTACACTCCACAAACTCATGTGTGGTTTTTTGCAATATATTGCTGGATGCAATTGAGAAGGGTCGCATCAAGCTCCCCGAGCCAAAGAAAGATGCCATGCTGGTGGATACCAACCCATTTCCGAACTTGCTTGGTGTCAACATGGTTAACCCAGACTTCTCAAAAATTTAGCTCCCCCGTTTCAAGCTGATGTTGGATACAACACCGCAACAAGGGACCCCCACCATGGGGTTCGAGCAGGGAGAGTCATCGAAGGGTACGCAGGCCAACTCGGCCGCTTCTAAGGTGTCAAGTGAGGTGGAGAAGCTATATGCCCAATGCAAAAGGAGTCCTAGACTTGATGAGGTGTGACCGAATCGACCAGTCCAACAAAGAATTGGTCCACCCCATAGGCCGAGATACCCATCCTATCAAAGACAAGTAGAGGGGGTCATTCAACCGACATGGGGGCAAAGAAGGCAATGGGTGGCACATGGCCCTCTTCCCATGAGAAGGACTTCTAAGATGCCCAATGTGCCACAAGGAGGGGGGCATACTTATGATATGCATAGTCAACCAGTAGCTATTGGGCGGATGACAAAGACTCAAAGAAGGAGATTCCTACATAAAAATGCCAAAGCACGAAAGGGGCAATACCCAGTAGTACCTGGTGAGATGGTGAGACCAGCACAACAAAATCAGGATGGTCATGCTAGTATTGAGGTGGAAAACTCTATGACCACGGGTTCCAAAGTGATAGTGTCTAACCAGGGCAAGCATGCCCAAGTCCAAAGTGATGGTAAGGGTCAGAAGGGAAAAAATGGTGTAGGGTGTGATTCAAAGTCAGCTTGTGAAGAATCATCTCCTTTGAACAACCATGGCCATATGGTGTATGGTTGGCTTGTTTGGTTTAATACATGGACTTGGCAGTGGATATATACCTTTGGCACTTTGGTTATTGCCAAAGGGTATGGAGATCAATGATGCTTGTAACTACTTATTATATACAATAAAAAAATATATTAATTAATATAGAAAATCCAATCATGGCTATATATATATATTTAAAATCCCAAAGTGGTAAGTTTCAGAAGAAGTTAGTAGGTTTTGATGTGAGAATCTTGCCACGACTGGTAAGCCTCAATCATTACTCGTATCGTCAGGCCATTAAGGTGGCCTAACCAGGCCAAACTTTAAAATTTTGTAAGGTGTGAACTATATACCCCATGACAAGACATGGAGGTGATGGTGATTGGCATGGGTATGATTAGTAGTAGTTTGGATTAACTAGGGGGCATGACGTTGTTCTAGCCCAATAACTTCAAAAGATACCGCGCCGTGTGATTTAAGAGTGACCATAACTGTTGGTGGTCACAGTGGCATGGGGGGCACGGTTGTGTGAGATGGAAGGACTATGGAATAATTATGTTTGACTCCATTCCTCCCACACGACAGCAAAGGAGAAGAAATTGGGATTGTTTTCGTCATTTAAATTGTATGGCCAACTATTTGAGTTTGATGGCCTAGTTGGTGTGAAACTACTTAGTCCATAATTCTTATACACTAAGTAGTTAGGGGGCATTTGTTTACCCATAAAAATTCACCTTATAACACATCGGTTAAAAACAAGGAATTAAATGGCTTTATAAGGCCAACTTAACCATATCAGTTTAAATCAATTGAGTGGGCCATGGAGATTGGGTTTTTTGGGCCCATTACTCCGTGCCACCACGCTCGCCATGTATCTCCAAATTTGGCTAAGTATGGGAGCCACCCCCATGCGGCCATCATATCGCCACCCCCATGACATGGTGAGGGGGGTGATGACCGAATTTGGCTAAGGCAAAGAGAAGGATAGCCACCCCTAGGAGGTACCAAGGGGGGTGGCCACCATCATACCACCCCCAGGACGTAGCAAGGGGGGTGGGCATCATACCGCCACCCCCATGACATGGTGAGGAGGGTGATGGCCGAATTTGGCTAAGGCAAAGAGAAGGATAGCCACCCCCAGGAGGTACCAAGGGGGTGGCCACCATCATACCACCCCCAGGACGTGGCAAGGGGGATGGGCATCATACCGCCACCCCCATGACATGGTGAGGGGGGTGATGGCAGAATTTGGTTAAGACAAAGAGAAGAATAACCACCCCCAGGAGGTACCAAGGGGGGTCGCCACCATCATACCACCCCCAGGACGTGGTAAGGGGGTTGGCATCATACTGCCACCCCCAGGAGGTACCAAGGGGGTGGATACCATATTGCCACCCCCGTGACGTGGTAAGGGGGTGACTCAGGACGTAGTGAGTGGGTCATATTACCAACCCCCATGAGGAGTGAAATACGATTAAGTATGGAGAAGGATGGGGCCCCCATGGTATGATCAGGGGGTGATCCTCATACAGGATATGACATGAGGGTGATCACCAAGGATGGAAAGGAGAACCCTCCATGAGATGATCAGGGGGTGGCCATCAACACACCCCGCCATGAGCATGCAATCCCCATGAAATGATCAGGGCGGTGATTAATATCCACCCCCTGTGGTATGGTCAGGGGGTCACCAACGTACGCCCCCATGGTATGGCCAAGGGGCGTGGTCAACATCGCCCCCATGAGGTTGCCAGGGGGGCTACCAAGGCACCACCCTCATGAGGTGGTCAAGGGGGGTCAGGTGGGCACGTGGTCTCCCTACTCCCGTAATGGTGAAGTATTTTTGCCATTTTTGACTCAAGTGATTTGAGTACCCACCCATATGTGGCACGTGGTATGCTTTCATGCCTTAGCCATTTTTTCTCTATAGACAAGCAAAGCTGCGGAGGAGATACCAAGAGCATGGAGTGAGGTCTCAAGAGGAGAGGCCAAGATTGGGCTACATCCAACGTCAAGGTAACTGTCGAAGCAGTAGAGAGGGTAACCGCCACTCCACGTCACCAGAGCAGTTTCTTGGGGCAGTTACTTCTGATGGCTATAAATAGGAGGTGAAGATGACAGAGATAGGGGTCGCAAAAATCACAACTCGACACCATTTGTCAAGTTTTATCTTTTTATCTTTTCCTCTGCAGATTTTAGCCATAGTCGTAGTTTTTGGAGCTCTCATTGAACCTCCATAGGAGTAGGGCTAATTTAATGTAGATTTGCCTCGTAGTTCATCAAAACATTGAACACCCTTGTTTGAACTTTGTTCAAAGAGGTGTGAACTGTGTTATTTGATCGTTTGTTTGGAAGTCAAACGTGCAAAATCTAATTCTGTTCATCTTGTTTTTCTCGCCGGGAAAACAGGTTTTTTTGGCACGAGTACATGAATCACAAAATCCAACTGTTCCTTTATTCTTAATAGAATCAAACAGAAACTTGGCCTTCCCTTCGGATGGATGCCCCAAACGTGAGTGCCAAACTTCATCCATCTTCAATCGACCCATGGATGCAGCCAACGCCCTTGATTTAGTAGCACCAAACAACCGGAGGTAATACAAGCCATCTCGTAGCTTCCCACTACCAATCATCCTCCTGGAGCGTAAGTCCTGGATGACGCAAAAGTCATGTAAGAATATCAAGGCGACATCAAAATTATGCGTCAACCTACTCACCGACAAAAGATTACACTTGAATAACGGTATACTCAAGACATGACTGAGTTTCATCCCACTAGACAAGCTAACATCACCAATTTTTGTGATAGGGATACTATCACCGTTAGGGATCTTAACCGGAAAATAACCTGAGACATTTTCCGAGTTCTCCAACAAACTCGAGTTATTGGTGATGTATTCATTGCAACCCGAATCTATAACCCATTCAGTAGCTGAGGCACACTTACCCGCCATATTTGCCAAGGCCATATTTGCCGAGGAATCGGGTGTTGAAGCAGATGTAACTGGTCCATTCGCTTGCTCTAGGAATTGCACAAGCTACTGCACTTGTTCACTTGACAGCCCCAGAATTGAAATGCCAGCAGCAGTGGACGAGTTTGCTACGCGGGTACCCTCCCGTCGTTGACCTTTGCGAGGTCCTTTATCGCCCTGTCGAGGCTTCCTCTCTCGCCACTTCTCAGGCCACCCGATGATCTCAAAGCAGCTCTCCTTCACGTGGCCAGTTTTGCCACAATGACTGCAGCGCGGCTTTTCTTTGGCGCCCAGCATCACGATCATCCTTGTCCTGATGCACCTGAAAAGCAGCCACTTCCACTGTCGGGCGACGATTTGCGGAGATATTTTGTGTTGTTCCTCGGTTGCGATCAGGCGATAAGCCTCCGCGAGATTTGGCGAAGGAAGGTTTCATAGAGAGGATTTGGGTCTTGACCATCGAAAACGATTCGTCCAGCCCCATTAAAAAATCGAACAAACGGTCGCTCTCTTGATTGGTTCGCACCCGTCGTTCTACGCCACAAGTTCATAATCCACAAGTGCACTTAGGGATCGGAGTGATGGTCTGCATCTCCTCCCATATTCCTCTCAATTTTGTATAAAAGGTTGAGACAGTCAGCTTCTCTTAGCGTAGCAAAGTCATCATCTGCCGGAGTTCGTAAGCCCTAGGCGCGGAAACCTGTCCAAAGCGAGCTTCCAAGTCGACCCAGATGTCACGCGCCGTCTTGGAATACCAAATCGAGGTCCTGACCTCTTTCTCCATTCATGTTTTCAGCCATCCCTTCACTAGAGCGTCGCACTGAAGCCAAGCCCCCAACAACTCTTCATTATCGGGCTTAACAATGGTACCATCGACCATCCCCATCTTGTTCTTTGCGATGAGAGCTTCGGACATATCCGTAACCCACTCTCCATAATTGGAATTGTTGAGCAGCTCCCCAACAAAGAGTTGTCCAGGATTATCGGACGGCAGGATAAGCAAGCCAGTTGGAACAGACGGAGGAATCTGAGCACCACCCGAACCGCCGCTACTGTTCACCATCGCACTCTCGCTGGCGCTGCCCGAATTCATTGTGGAATAGGATCGTCAATCGATCAGCTCTGATACCATGAAAAATCTAAGAAGCGGAAGAAAGATAACACGGCACAATCGATTTACGTGGTATCCCCGTTCGGTTTGAACGAGACTAATCCACGGAGAAGGAAAACCCTTCTCAGTCACTTTCTTATTCACGGCTCAAGTTCCAGCGGCAGCAAAAACAATAATATATATATATAACCCTAATAGTACCAATCGCCTAGGGTTGGCGTAGGAGCAAAGAAAAGTGAAACACCCAAACTGCCCCTACACATGCACATGCACATGCACGTAGTACCCTTTACTACTTAGTATTTAAATAAGATTATACCACGTGGTATGTAACTGTATCATTGTGATATGAACACACCAAAACATGTATACATAATAGTATAAAAAAATATTAATCTTCATTTAGCAACAGATAGCACTAATTACCACCCTGTACTAGGGTGGCGATACTTTTTACCCTGGAAATATTTATCCAAGAGATCTGGCCCTACTTTAAAATAAAGAGTTTAGATATAATTGTACAAGAGTGCATAACTAAGGGTTATACCCCATTCTATTATTCTAAACCGTTTCTGCGATCGGGCTGGATAGATAACAATGTGAAAACACTTTTGATAAAAAAAAAAAACTGACCAGTTGGTAGTAATCACTTTTGATGCTTATCTAGCAAGGAGTAGAAAAAGTTGTTAATGATATCGTGCGTATCAAATTATATAGAGAAAACGAATCAACTACAACACATCAGATATCTAGCAATCAATCAATAACACATTTATCTGTCGCAGGACTTCAAAAATAATGGTACAACTACGTATACATCCCATTAGGGGTGGCTATTTGGACCGGGACCGGATTAAAAACCGGAAATCGGACCGTATAACCCGGACCGAGACCGGACCGGGACCGGATAGTAAACAATTCAATCCAATTTTTGGGCTTAGATTTGAGGTAAAAAAACCGGATAAAGACCGGATAAGAGAGCTCAACACCCAAAACTTAAGGGTAATTTGCATAAACGGTCACAAACCTTTGCACTTAGTACAAAACTTAACCAACTCCTCACCCTTTAAGGCCTTAGGCCACTCAAATCCCACAATCTCAATGTAAAATCAAGACCGAATTGGGACCGGACCGGATCAAAACCGGACCGGATCAAAACCGGACCGGATCAAGACCGAACTGTATCCAATCCAATCTTCGGTCCTTATATTTTCAAAAATACCGGACTGGACCGGATCAATTTGGGCCAATTTAACCGGACCGGACCGTATAGCCACCCCTACATCCCATGTCGACCACCGGTCAGTATTTTGCAGTTTATTTATGAATTTCACATATACAGTACAGAGTTCAAAATAATGAATAATTGAGAAATGGATAAACTCTCCACATCTTCGTTGATTCAAGAGCTAGACTTGAATATGACAAAGAAAGGAGAGACCCAATTCCGATACATACGTGTTCCTACTTTCAAGCTTCGTAAAGGTATAGCAGTAGGCTTTTCTTCTTCTTCGTCATTTTGGTTTGGCTATAAATAGCGAACCCCACGGCACTCTTTATTCATTCATTCCCCATTTATAACTAACAAACTAATAGACAGAGCAAGAAAGAAAGAAACGTGAGAGAGGGCGATCCAAGAATGGCGGGAATCATCCACAAGATCGAGGAGACGCTCCACATAGGCGGTGGCGAAGATCACAAAAAGGACGACCACAAAGATGACGACCACAACAAGGACAAGGACAAGGAAGGCATCGTCGACAAGATGAAGGACAAGCTCCAAGGTGACCACCACGGTAGCGGCGGCCACGACGGCGAGAAGAAGAAAAAGAAGAAGGAAAAGAAGAAGCACGATGACGGTCACGAGAGCGGCAGCAGCAGCGATAGCGACTGACTCATCATCATTTCTCCTAATTCATTCAGGTGACTACCAGCGATCCAGCCTTTTATTTAAATCCCTTTAAGAAATTCCAATCTTTGGAGATGACAAATTCATGAGAGCGGTTGATTCGATCATCAATTTTTTTTATGAGTTAGGCGTCCTCCTCGAAATCTATTTTTATAAAAAAAACATTGTGAAAGCAAGCATGGAGCTACATTGCCTTTCGGGGCACCCGCTCCCCTGAGAATTTCGAAGATCGAGTAAAAATATATCGTTACTTTAGAACATTACGTATAAATTACATAACAAACATAATAGTGAAGCGTGTTTTAGCTTCAGATTTTAATATAGTCACCAAATTATGAAAAATATTATTGATCATATTTCTCAGTTATAACAATAGTGATAACCAAATACAAATTTAAGAGAACGATAAGCTTATGTTGGTAAGTTAGTTATTTATCTCAAAATATGGCAGCGAAATTATTTAGTATTTTCTCCACCGATTTTTATGCTTGGTCTTCTAATAATATTAATTATTAAATAACATTTTGTATTGTCATAACCAAAAATAACTTTCTTTACAAGTCATTAGCATATAGTTATGTTTTGCTTATTATTTTTTATTATAATTATATGAAAAAAATATTCTGTTCCCCCGATCTTCAAATCTTGACTCTGCTCCTGCGTGAAAGGATTCTATTATACCTAAAATTAGGATATCAGTTTCGTTTTTAGTTACGATTTCTGTTAATTTTAATGTTTGTTTGTGTTGGTTCATGCTCAGGTGTGTTACTGCAGAGCTATGTAAGAAGCTCCTCCGATGTTTGTCGGAGCCATATGCGTGGAACTAGCTACATAAATAATAGGAGATTAATAAATAAGGAAGATTTATGTTACATTATCTTTTATCCCATATATATATTCATTTTGGTCTGGTGGGAGATCATAGATATGAACTATCCAATATGTATTCATTCCACCGTGTCACCGTACGTTATGATCTAGCTATCCTTTGTGTGTGTTTTTTTAATATTTTTGGGCGAGAAAACTTGCGTTGAAATCGAATTGAGTGCACCTTGAATTCTTTGGACACTGATTAACTTAACACAGTTCACACCTTTTCAAACAATGTTCGAACGAGGGTGTTCGATATTTACACGACTCACGAGACAAAAATCTACATTAAATTACCCTATTCCTATGGAGGTTCAGTGAGAGCTCCAAATCTATGACTATGCCTAAAAGTTGCAAAGGAAAGATAAAATAATAAAAACTTGACAAGTGGTGTCGAGTAGTGATTTTTGCAAATCCTTTCTCTATCAACTCCTCCTCCTATTTATAGACATTAGGTGGTAACCGTCTAGAGAGTAACTTTTGTCTGGAGAGTAACTTCCAAAAAGAGTTGCTTTCCTTCTTCCTTGGTTGTGGCTGACGTGTCCTTTTACGTGGAATAATCGAAAGTTGCCTAGTTAATCGCCTTGTTTCTCTTTTGTGATTGATGTCTTGTTACTTGCCTCCCCTTTATCATGACCATTCCAGATCTCACGACGAGTGCTTTCTAAATCTCACGCCCGATGTGGATTGTAACACCCTCGATATTTGGGTCTAGATTCAACCAAACGAGGACGGTTATGTACGAAGCATTGCAACCGTGGATTGGAGATAATAATAAGAACATTAATTATTATTATTATTATTATCACGTTCAACAAAAAGAAAGGGAAACAAAGGGAATCAAAATTCCCAACCACCGTTGCCAAAGGTAAGATAGCATAACGGTAAAGCTGCCGCGACAGTGAAGGTTTGGGAGTTGCAGATCACAGGTTCGAATCCAAGCGAGGCTCGTTAGTGTTCCTGGAGGTACAGGGCTGATGGGGATGAAGCCCCGTTGGCGTCGAATTTGATTGCAAGTGGCCCCCCATATTTAGTAGGACCCACTATCATAAAGTGGCACGTGAGGCTGAGATTTCTGGGTAATAAAAGAAAAAATTCTCAACTGCCATTACTTTTCCCACATTCATTCATTCTCTCTATCTCTACTGAACGACCAAACAATTTTTTTTTTTTTTTTTTGCATTGGAGAGAGGCAACAGCCAAGAAGGGAGAGGGGATTACAAGGGGAAGATTACATCAACGAGGAAGTGGGAATTGCAATGTGGCGCTCCAAAGTAGTGCCAATATAATCCTCCCAAAGGATCGTAGCTAGTCCGGTTTGCAGATCCGCAAGCTCGTGCACACCATAGGGATAGACGAGACTGTGCTTCGAGAGCCACTCCGCGACTCTATTCCCTTCATGGTATACATGAGCTATACTGACCAGCCAATCCCGTCCAAGCTTCCTGCGAATCGCATCTAAGAGGGTTGCATAAGGACGGATTGGATCCTCCCTGTTCTGAATAAGTTGAATAGCCAACTGTGAGTCGCTCTCCACTTTCAAGCATCTATATCCCTGATCCCAAGCGAGCTCCAGGCCGTGATCGAAAGCCCAAAGCTCGGCACAGGTGGCGGTTGTTGATCCGATATTCTCTGCAAAACCTCCCAGCTACTGGCCAGCCGAGTTCCTGATGACACCGCCTGCACCGGAAGGTCCTGGGTTGTCGTTGGAAGCTCCATCAATGTTCAGAGTGACCCACCCATTGGGAGGAGGAGACCAGCTAATATGCGCAAGCTGCCAGCGCGCCAGGCGACTTCGACTGACGGGCATCAACGCCGGGGCGAGCCACGACTCGTGCCAAAGCTTTGCTTTCGTGGTGATGGAGTGCTCTAATGTCGGAGCAGATAGAGCTGCATTCAATCCATGGAGAGCTGATGTGCATCGATTCTTCCATAAGAGCCAAACCACCATGCTGAAAAAATTGGGTCATTCAATCCCTGTACCTCTCTTAGTATCACTTCAATGAAGAGATTAAGGCGAAGCCAGTCCTCTTGTTCCATGCTGAAAAAAGCTTGCTGCTGGTGTTGAGGAACGTGTCTGGACCCGAAGAAAGCTGCTGGAGGGCAATCATGAAGGATGTGTAAAATGGTTTCCGGCTGGCTGGTACATCTCGCAGAGAATGGGTTGCTAGCAATCCTCCTTTTATACCTGAGGACATTCGTCAGGATCTTCCCGAGAAAAGTAAGCCACATGAAGCTTCTTATCCTTTCCGGAACGGCAAGCCGCCAGATAACTTTCCAAATTATTTCGTCCGAATGCGGATGTTGCTGGGTAAGAAGGTGGAACGCCAATTTCGTGGAAAATCTACCATCGGATGTAGCTATCCAAAACATCTGGCCTTCTTGCTGTGAGAGAGGATCGACGGCAATGCCAAGAATTTTCTGGTGGATCTCCGCAGGAAGAAGATTAACAAAAAGCTCCGTTATCCAGCTTCCATCTTCATTCACCAAGTCTGCCAACCGTGCCTCCTTGATCTAGCTTGGAATATCACTGAGAGCCTTCTCCCGAAGAGGAACCTACAAAACCCAAATGTTATTCCAGAATTTAGTGCGCTTACCATTCTTAATATTCAAGGCACACCCTTTTTTTAAAAGATTGGCTGCTTTTGCGAAGCTAGCCCAGGTGAAGGAACTTCCCTCAATTGGTCGGAGGATATTCATGTCTTGTCTTTGCTTCCCATACTTCGCCTGCATCACTTCGACCCAGAGGCTATCTTTCTCCTGAAGTAGATGCCATCCACCCTGAGCTAGCATAGCTATATTTGTGTCCTTAGTGTTCTGGAGTCCCACCCCTCCACTAGCTTTGGGTATGGTCATCTTCTCCTAGTCTACCAGATGCATCATGTTCTTGCCCGTCTCGTCACCCCAAATGAAATCTCTACTGATCTTGTCGATGCTCTTGCAGATATTGGAGGGGAGAAGCTCGGTCTGCATACTGTAGATAGGGAGGGAGGCAGCAACTGATTTGGCCACGATAAGCCTAGTAGCAAAAGAGTTAGCCTTCCATGTCGCCATTTTCTTCTGAATGCGGAGGAGAAGGGGTTGATATCTCCCTCTGGTCACCCTTTCTTTGATAGCCTAGATTCCCAAATACCGCCCTAGATTAGCCTTGAGAGGAATCCCTGCTTGCCGGCTTAGTCTTTGCGCTTTCCGCCTGGGAATATTTGGTGGGACATACATGATAGACTTGCTGAAATTGACCTTCTAAACGAAGCTAAAGCAGAAGTCCTCCAGGCACTGATGGATAACTTTGATTTGGCGAGTCTCTGCCTCCGCAAAAAGAAGGAGATCGTCTGCAAAAAATAGATGGGTGAGAGGTGGACCATTGGCGGTAAGCTTAATAGCTTTCCAAAGACCATTGTCCACCTCTTCATCAATTTTATGAGACAAAAGTTCCATACAAAGAACAAAAAGATAGGGTGACAGAGGATCTCTGATAACGATGTAATTGCACATATTTGCGCCCCTAGTTCTTATCCGGTTGAGAGGCATAGTCGTGTGTTTTTTGGCCTATTTTATGTCGGGTTGTGCTATTTTGTCATGTTTCAGGTCCCAGGTGTAAAAGGGAAGGCTAAGCACGAGTTTCGGGGCATTCGGAAGTCATTTCGGTGAAACTGAGCCAAAACACGGGCACACCTAAACCAGAACACGGCCGTGTTCTGAGACCGTGCTTTTACTGCCGAGAGCTAATTCGAGTTTGGCAAACATTGGCCAAAACACGGGCAGGGCTGAGATAGAACACGGACGGGCTTCACCAAAGCACGGCCGTGTCCTCCCAAAAGCACGGCCGTGTTTCTCCTAGTGTAATTAACACTAGCCAAAGCACGGGCAGGCTGAGGCATTACACGGCCGTGCCCTCGACCGTGCTTTGGCCAGTGATGCCCTTTTAAGCAGATTTTCAGCCAAAGAGAAGGGGATTCGAGTTTTAGAGAGATAGAACGATTCCTAGAGAGAGAAAGCGACGAACAAGAGTCTCCAAGTGCCCTAGCTTGATCTTCAACACCATTGGAGGCCAGTTTGAGCTTGGAGAAGTGCCGATCAACATCCAGGAGCAGGAATCCATCCTTCACAGTATGAATTCCGCGTCTGATTCTGCTCTTGCTTCTTTCTCCATGGAGTAGTTCTCCCATTCATCTGGGTATGGAGAACCCTAGATTTGTATGCTAGGCTTTGATTGTATGAACCCAAGTACTAATTCTATGATTTGATTATATTCGATTGAGGTTTGAATGATTGAATGACTTGAATCCTGATCAAATTCCTGTTGTTTCTGCTTTAACCTAGAATGAGAATATCTGCCTAGGTTGATAGAGCATCCTTGATTGAAGGTAGGGAGTTGGTGACTTTAGTCGAGGAGCCAACTCACTATTCTGTACCGGATTCACTCCGGTAGTGGAGGTTTTGTTTGTTAAGGCCTCAATCTGTTTACTCCGGTGGAGGTTAGTCGCCCGCTAGAGACTCAGATTGAGAGGGTCTGAAGACCTTTAGTCGAGACTTCAGGCTGTTTGAGAACCTTCCGCAGTATAACTATCATAGAAACTGAACTTGGTAATTACAATCCGGCTTAACTGCAGTCTAGGGGGAACCATATCCGGGTGACCTCTCTTAACCTGAATACAACAGTTTACTTGCTTTGTTAGTTTGTTAGTTTAGACTTGCATTAAAGTTTCATTGCTAGATAACAAGAATTCACTGAGTAGCCATCAAATCTAGGACCCGGGTTGATAATTAAACCCAAACCCGCTATACTACGCTTTAGGAAGTGGTTACACTTGGCCAATTTCTAGGGTGACAGTAGAAGTGAGTCAATCTCCCTAACAGACTCCACGAGATGGAGAGAAGGGTTGCGAGAGTTCTCCGTTCCAGAGAATCCGCATCTTTTTTTGCTCCACACGGGTCATGATGCAGTTAATCCAGGATCTTGGGAGCCCAACTTCCTTCAGAGTATCTCTCAGGAAGTCCCATCGAAGCCGATCATAAGCTTTTTCCAGGTCTATCTTAATGATCAAACCTCTCTTTCTTCCTTTTCTTCTCCTGAGAGTGTGCAGGACCTCCTGAACCACAATAATATTATCAACGGTCTGCCTCCCTGGGATGTAGCTGCTCTGTTTGGGCGAAACAAGATTTCTCATGAGCGGTTTCAATCTGCTGGTCATAGCTTTCGTGATAGCCTTGAGGCTGACGTTGTTGAGAGAAAGAAAGAAAGGAAGCAACCTAAAAGCTAACCTAGCACCACCCGACCTCTCTCTATCTACCATGGTAAAGGAAACCGTACCGGAAGTCATACCGGATCCGCTAGTGGTAGGGTATTTTGTGGTACTACCGTGGTTCAATCGTTGTGTACCGGCAAAATACTGTTTTTGTAATTAAATAATTTTTTTTGTTAAAAATCGTACCGACAGATTCAAGATACTGTTTCGAAATATCCCGGATAACAAACCTGAATAAACTAAATAGGCATATTTAAAACAACAATCAACAAACTGCAACATTACTGAATTAACTACATAATCGTTCAAATGCATGTTTACGATCGAGTACAAAACAACCAAACAACATTCTTAAACCACAAGTTCAAACAACATTCTCAAACCAAACAACATTTCCTTTTCGTTCAAAGTACAAAACAACTAAACAAGATTCTCAAACCACAAGTTCACAACTACCACAAACACAAACTAGCATGCACTACAACGTTCACAAACAACGTTTCATATCTTCAAACAACACCAAATGTAGATAAGTCTACATTATGCAAGTCGTCCCCTTCATCTTCTTCATCTCCAACTACAATACAAGAGAAAACAGGTAAGAATTATAATCAATTATTAGTATTAGAATTCATATCATACATAATTGATTTACAAACAAACCTTCCTCTTCTAATGCTCGATCCAGCTCATCAATATCCAATTCCTTTTCCCTAGAAGATTACCTTCTTACCCATCTAACAACCAGTGACTAGTAACAGTAGAATCAATGCTTTCAAGGCTTATGGGATCATATGATTCTTTTTTGTTCTTGGTATAATACTCCCTAACAAAATTCGAAAACATAAAATAATTCAATTCAATAGTAAGCATAGAAAGTATGAATTCAACACACAAGTTCTATAATTAAAATCATTATCTATTCTGCAATCGCAAGTTGTAATTCACAAACACCAAGTTACTAAGCACTTTATGATGCAATCTGTTTGTTCTTTTGGTATGCACACGTTCAAAGACACTCCAATTACGTTCACAACCAGAAGAAGCAGCAGTTTGGCTAAGAATTCGAATAGCCAACTTCTGAATATTTGGAGCATCAATGCCAAACCATTTCCACCACTTATCTACATATAAAGCATAGATGTTAGTTTCTTAAATATTGTAATAAATAGAAGAACTTCAATGCAAGTGATATCAATTACCTGGTTGTTGTTTCTGAATCTATTGACATCTTCCTCCCAAAGTTTCCTTTCTTTTCAGCATACAAATTCATCTCCGCCACCACACACTATTATCAGGACATAAAGACGAGTTCTCAAGAAGATTAAGAAGTCCAAATGTAACCGCCTTATCCTCTATCCAATCATCAGCATACTTAATAGCCGGATTAAGATAGTGAGCTGCCATAAACAAATCACGGCTCAAGTGCTTATCCCATCTCCTATTAACGATATCCATGTATGGTTTGTACATGTCCTCCTTATCTCCACAAACTGTCTTAATAGCATTTGACACCCTAGTCATCCCATCATACACATACCCCATTGCTGGTTTACTATCTGAATCCACAACTCGAAGCAACTTAACAATTGGAGCTGTCAACATAACAATGAAGTCACAATCAGCCCAAAACTGTTGATCAAGTACAATTGCCTTCACATCCTTTCCATCCTTAGTACTTGAAAGATCACTTTCTCTAAAGAACTCACTAAACTCCAGTTCCTCAAAATCATGCATGTGCTCAAAAGTACTTTGCAAACTCAGAAATGTAGTAGCAAATCTAGTAGCACCAGGTCTCACTATTTCTTTCCAATTCTCCTTTGTCTTCAACCAGGAATAAATTGGACCATAATTGTAAACAAATTTGGAGACCTTGGTAGCTCGATAGGCAAGCTTCTTAACATGAGGAATAGATCCAATGTCACTCAAGATCAAGTTAAGGGTATGAGCAACACAGGGAGTCCAATATATATGACTATAATGTTCATGTATCATTGTCCCTGCCAATTTATAGTTGGATGCATTATCGGTCACCACATGAACAACATTCTCCGCTCCAACCCAATCAATGACCTCACAAAATAACTTAAACAAGTTCCTTCTACTCTTGACCAAACCAGAAGCATCAATGGACTTCACAAAGCATGTTCCAGCAGGAGAATACACAAGAAAATTGATTAAGGATCCACCTAGGTTTGCGTTTCCTTTCCTTTTTCTTTTTCTTTTTTGTGTTTTTTTAGTCTTGAGGTGTTGTCCAAAGTTTAGATGTCACTTTTGCGTGAAAAATGGTCGAAACCGGGGCTCTAGAATTCCACACGGCCAGGCCTAAATTTTGCACGGCCGCGTGGAATTCGCGTTTGGCCGTGTGAAGCCCCTGGAATTTCCACACGGGCGGAAGGGGGCCGCTACACGGCCGTGTGAAAATCTCGTCCAGCCCGTGTGGATTTCTCGGCGCCACACAGGCAAAATCTGCTCCACACGGGCGTGTTGACCTGGCCATGTGGCGACCCGACCGGCCATTTGCGACCGAAATTCTGCCTCTCCTCGCCGGAAAACCACGATTTTTCACCCTTTTGGCGATTTTTCGGCCATTTTTGGCCGGTTTTTTCACCAAACCAACACCATGCCCAATCTTCCCTCCTCCTTTTCGGCCTTTCCCTTGGTTTTGGGGCAATTTGGGCCGGATTTGGGTCACCAAAGGCGATTTCCGGCGAGGCTCTGGTGAGCACTTTCAAGGCAGAATTTTGAGTTTTCATCAATTCCATTGCCTTCCCCTCATCATCCCCTACACCTCTACTTGTGTCTCCAGGTTTGATTTCTCACTTGACCTTGTGAATTGTGGAGAATTGGGTGTTAGGGGATGTTAGGGTCTGTATTTAGAGAACTTCATTGAATCTTTCAATTTGATTGAAATTGATTGAGGGGAAGGCTTGGTTTATGTGTGGATTGTGTTGGGCAATATTTCCCTTTCTTGATTGAGCCCTTGTGTTCTAGGAATTTGCCCATTCTATGCTTAATTTTAAAGTGCACACAAGGTGTTCGATGAAATGCCAGTTTTTCATACCATTTTGGGGGAGCCGGTTGGGGCCCTTAATGATGTGCTTTGATGGTGTGTTTGCTATGGATGTGAACTTTAAGTTGCCTACTTTATTGTGAATGTGAACCCTCGCCTTGATTGAGCTTGTTTGCTCAAGTTATTTCACTCCGAACTATGGATGAAACTATGGTTCGGCTGTTTTCTGTTATTAAATGTGGGGGTGTGATTGACCATTCCTATGGCTATTTTGGATCCACTTTGGTTTACTTTCTTGCAAGGCCATGTCGAAACCAGATCTTAAGCATCGGTTCATTCGCGATTTGAAAAGGGGCCCCCACAAGGATCACTTTAAATGCGTCCAGGCCTCTAAAGTTGGGAGGCATCACTCTTGGACCAGGGGGAGTTCCGGAAGCTGAATTGCTATGACTTCTTCCTCACTATTGCTACCAACCGCGCATGGCGCCGACTGTTGTCTGTGCAGGAGAAGGTCTACCACGAGCCGGTGCTAGAGTTCTACACGACCTTTAGGTACGAAGAGACCACCGACTGGGCGGACAGCGAGGCCATCAAGTTCAGGCTAGGCGGTGAACCTCGCTCCATGAGCTACCACGACTTGGTTGTCGCTCTCGACCTCGAAATGGCTGATGACGGGGATTATTTCACTGAGTACAATAACCCAGCCGGTGTATCCTTCAATGCTCTGTAAACCCGGCTAGCTCAGCCCGGTCAAGACCCCTTCACTGCGGGGCGGACAAAGGCTAGCACTCTGCAGCTCGACAATCGCCTGCTCCACCACTTGCTCGCGAAGTCCTTCACTCCAATTGGAGAAAGTGACAGCACCATGACCAGGCGGTCCATGTACTTCATCCACTCGATCCGCACTGCGAACCATGCTCTCCACTTGGGTTCTGTGGTGGCGAGGACTATGGACAAGAGTGCTATTACTGCTCCACCCTTCCCTGCGGAGGATTACCCCGCAGTTCCTAAGGATGCTGCCACCGAGGATGTCCACCCCGATAATGTGGATGTTGCTACCGCCCACACCGCCCCTTACCAGACCACCTATGATCATGAGGGTGGTAGCTCTACATTTCCATCCCAGGACTACAGCACTCATCAGTTCCAACAGCTGAATCTCCAGAATCAACAGCTCCTCGAGCATCATCTCCAGTTCCAGCAGCAGTACTCGACTCACCAGGCCGAGTATAGCACCCGGATGGTTGCATATGATGAGCGCCTCGACCGCATGGAGGCCCAGCAGGGGGTTACCCTTGCTCATATTGAGAGGGAGCGTGGTCGGGCTCGTCGTATGCAGGAGGTCCAGCAGCACCTACTCTAGCTGATATCGGGCGAGCAGCCAGTTTGGAGGACTCCCTGGGAGGACTCCCCACTCCCACCCCCGCCAGCCAGTGACGATGATTTCATGGACGACATCGACTTGGAAAACCTCAGCGAGGAGTAGTCTGTACTCGTCGCCCCTTTGAGTGTGTTTTTGTTTTGGATTTTTCATGTTTGCTCCATGTGTGTGAGGAGCTTGAACTGAGTCTTTTGTGTGTTTTTTCTTTTGTGGATTGTCCGTTTTGTGCCCATCCGGGCTGACTCAAATCCCAAACGTACAATGTGCTAGTCTGTTATTCATGTTCCCTTCATGCAGAACTGTTCCATCGTTCTGTCTGTCCCCCGATGACTGGTCCATTTCCAGTACCCCGACACTCTTTCATCCCGGTAACATCGTTCCCCTTATCCTTCCCTCTGCTCCATTGAGGGCAATGTCGTGCTTAAGTGTGGGGGGTGTTTATCTATTTTTGACTGCTATATGAGTTTGTGTGCTTGGAGCCTAGTCCACTATCCAATTTGATGAATTGAGGGCTCCAAGTACTGTTCCCGGCAATAACCTGCTCAGTATGCTCTGAATTGACAATCTTTATGGTGATATGCAACCTAGGGAGGTAGTTGTAGCACTATGGAGGATGTTGAAGTATAAGATTTTTCATATCTGTCTCTCTGCTGTGCCGGTTGATTTTGTGAACTAGTGGATGTAGGATCGTTGATTCATGTGGTATTGATGACTCCTCCTATATTGGGTTGTGTACTCGTGTATCGAAAAAGGGTGCTCATATGTGAAATGAAAAGGCAGTTGGTCCTCCTTGTCAACAACTTTGAAATCTTAAGACATGGGGTAAGCCAAACGTGTGTAGCACCGTTCATTGCACAAAATCGGGTTTTGGAAGAGATTTTAGTGATCCTTGGTGGGGTAGGCCTACAAGGTGAAGCTAAGTTGTCTCTATTACAAGTAAAATTTCCACCCGTTGAATGGTTTGCCTACTTGAGGATGTGTTTTTAAGGGCACGTATAGAGCTTCCGACCCCCCTTAATTTCATTGACCCTCCAGACGAAGTTAGGAATAGGAGTTAAAAGAAGTACTCTGGCGAGTGACAGATGTACAGAAATTGCTCTTGCTCACCTAATAAGGGCAGACCGCGCATACAAACTGTAGTAGGAACCTCGGCAAAGTAAAACAAAAGGAAACAAAAAAGGAAATAAATGGTAAGAAGAAGGGGTTCCAACAAGTGAAATGAAATGAAAGAGCACCCGATACAATGAGTCCTTGGTTGTTGAATTGTGTGAGTCTCCTTATACATGAATTGACTGTCTTAGTTCCACTGCTTCTCATGATCCTGGCTTGAGTCTAGTACTCGCATTGAGAGAGATAAGGGGCGTCTTAGAAGACCAGTTGACCTCGTAAGTTGCTGAATAATCTAGAAAATCCTCTGTCGACGATTGGGGTTGCATGTTTCTATGGAGGTCTGGAGAGCTGCATTGGTTTGAGTCAAGTTTGCTTGGGGACAAGCAAACGGTTAAGTGTGGGGGAATTTGATGACTTGATATATGCACATGTTTTCGTCCACCATTCCTCTATCGTTTGAGTCTCATCCCTCGTGTTTTAGGCCGATTTCACGCCGATTTCAGGTCCTAGTACGTGAAGGAAGGTTTGGGCACGAGTCGGGTTCGATTGGACGAAGTTGGAGCAATTGACGAGAAGCTAGGGAAGCCACACGGCAAAACCTAGAAACCACACGGCCGTGTGACGTGGACGTGTGGAATCCTTTTGCGCGGGCAAATCACACTGGCCATGTAATGGGCCCCTTGTGGCCGTGTGAAAATCACAGAGACCTTCACACGGGTAGGTCGAGATTCCACACGGTCGTGCAGTTCTGGCCGTGTAACATGCATGAAAGCACATAAGTGAAACGTGGCGTTTTGCACTTATACACGGGCAGCTGGCAATTCTACACGGCCGTGTGGCCTACTTGTGTAGTTGGGAAATTCTAGGTTTTAACCCAATTGCGGGTCTTTTGAAGGGGGGTCGACTTTTTGAGTACAAAAACATACTTTAGAGAGAGAAAATGCGAAGAACAAACCCTAGGAGCTATTTGGAGTGGATTTCTCACCATTGAAGCCCAAATTGCATCCCTATGAGTGAAGATCGACATCCCATAGCAGATTATCCCCATCTTTATGAGTATTACTGCTCTGATTTCTGTTTTCCTCTCTCTCCATATGGAATAGAACCCTCTCTCACTTGGGTATGAAGAACCCTAGTTCCATGTGTTAGGAATCTTGATTATAATGACTTTGGATTGATATACTGATTTATTATAATCGATTGATGCATGATTCATTGAGTTAATTTAAGCCTGATCATCTTTTCTTGATTTCTGCTGCAACTTGAGATAGATAGAATCTGATTAGGTTCTTAGAGCTTCATCAATCGGTAGTAGTGAGTTGGTTATACGAGAGTTAATCGATTTACTGCTTTTTACTGGAATCCAATTCCAGTAGTGGAGTTGTGCGTTTATTTCCTCAGTAGTCTATCCCGATGAAAGCTAGTCGCCTGCCGGTTAGTCTGTCTGAGAGGGCTTGGTCAGCTTAAGAGATT